CAGATTTGATAGAACTGTACAGGGTTTGCCATCTCCTGAACATCCCCTTGTGGCCAGAGGCCATTCTGCAGCAACCTGCCTCTGTTTCCTCCTTTTCAGGGCCCCTCACACAGATTCCACACACTTTTTCTGTGGTCAAAATACCTGTCCTTGGGGTTAGGGTTTAATTAATAGTCCCAAATTAAAGTCCAACAAACAAACATTTCTCTTCTGACTCCCAGGCCTTCCTGCCTGTAGAGGTTTTGCAGTCTTTTCCCCTACTTGCTCAGGATCTCTCCTGCCTTAGGAGGCTACTTCCAGTCCTTGCTAGCTGGAATCTTAATCCCAAATCTCATTCTTAGCAGTCTCCGCTTTCCTGAGCATTCCCTTCTCTGCAACTTCCAGCTGCTCTTTATAGGGGAATCACCTAACCCCTCTCAGGTGTGCCTCTTTTCGTAATCAGGGTCGGGGAGCCCCAGATCGTCTATCCCTTACAGGGAAAGCCACCCTGCTACCATAACATATGGCAAATAGTGCTGAGCAGCAGAATAATTTATGTACAAAACAGAAATGCTGCTATTTTTGCAGAGGACAGGATATAGATTCACACTAGAAATTCATCACATTTAGAGGAAGGCTAGAAAGCAAACAGAAGCAGAAACTAGCAGAAGCCCTGGATCCTCTAAAACACTGAACAATGGAAGCCAGTCTGTATTTTCTCTTCCTCTTACCAAGATTTTGTGCTGTGCCAGAGGTACAGCACAAAACATGTAGCCTAGGCCACCCTGGCGACAGGAGAGGCCCTATTGTAACTGCATATCCTCCCAAACCATGGAAACAAGCAGTTCAGTCATTTATTACCCCATCTACACTCCGTTATCAGTTTTCCTCTCCAGCCGCAACTTTCTTCTTTCTACCACCTCAGAGTTCAGGTCTTCACCCTCATCCTGAGCCACTAATGGGCCTCCTCAGCCTGCAGCCAAGTCATGGGCTATATATTGTGTTTTGATTATTATTATATTTAAATACTGCATACATTTGTTATTAATATAACACACATATAAATTCCCTTTCATAGTACATTGAATAATTTTATAATCATACCTGATGTATTCCATTAAATCAGTTTTACATTAGACAAATATATTGTACTTTTCTCATTTTAAACATGCATGGTCTTCCCTTCCATCCTGCTCTGTTTCCAGAGAACATTTTGTTCTGTGTATTTTCTACGGTTGGATAAATTATATATATGAAAAAAAAAAAAACGTATTCAATGAGTTTAGCCCATTTTTCTGTTGATGAACAATCCACAAACTGATCTCACTTTTTCAGAATTAGTTATTGATGATACTTTGTTCAATTGCTTTCCCAACCAAAGTCTAACGTAGATATTATCCTCAAATTGAACACTACTATTTTTTAATATTTGTTATTATGTCTCATAAAAGTCACATATTTTTGTTTCTGCTCTCTGATTGGATGAAAAACCAGGAAAATCACATAGTGAATCAGATTTCACAAACACGATCACAAATACATTTCCGCACTATCTGGCCAGCTGTAGTGCTTTCTATCCAATAACTGCATTAGCAAAAGATTCCACAGACTAGTTTCCCATAAAACATATATCTGAGGATTTATCTTTTATTCATTGACAAGGACATCTCATCTATGGACCCATTTTCTGATAACAGTAATCAAAACACTATTCTGCGAAAGTTATATTTTATAACATTTATTAACCTATATTTACTTTCATGACTGTATTTAAAAATTTCATCTTTTGATTGGAAACGATATGCACTCAGAAAATTCACTTTTTTCGCAAGGTCAAAATTGCAGTACTTTGGCCTCCATTTCACACACCAGAGGTATAGAAAGAAAAATCAATATAATCAGTTTACTGAGTTGTATTTATCAAGCTGAAAAGGAGTTGTTTTCAGAGAGATACACATATCTACAGAGAACAAAAAAACAGTGTAAACCTATTGTTTAACTTGGCTTATTTAAAAGAAAGTGTAGACAAGAGAATCACTGCGGGCCCAATTATCTGACTTTTACTCATGTGGGAAAATCCTGGCCCCACTGACATCAATGGCAAAACTCCCACTGACTTCAAAAAGGGCGCAGAATTTCACCCTCAGTGAATAGTTTCACTGAATATGGGTGGCAAAATCTAGTTCTTAGTTTTAGCAGAACTTGTCAATTCTTGTGAAATTTAGACGACCACCACATTTTTTATACTGTGTCCCTTTTTTCCCCTCTGCTTCCCCTTCTGATTCTGCTACCCGAACACCTTTGTTTTAATCCAAGAGAACAAGTGAAATTTTTCATATGGAGCCTGAAGCCCTGGATATCTACCAAGCAAAAGGGTGTTTAGCTCTTTGCTTACAGGATAAATACATCACCTTCCCAATGTGGTTAAGAATCTTTAATAGGAGCAGAAGATCTGAAGTTATTATACAGTAAAAGTATGTTTCAACAAAGCTCCATGACAATTTTAATGAAATAAAAATGAGGAAATCCTCAGAGTACCCTAATTTCCATGAAACTGTTATGAAATCTAGACCTATGTATTGCCTTGTCTCAGCTAAACTCTATTAACACAGAGGAAATAAAATCTTTGTTTAGGTGGAGTTAAGGTTCCAGGCACTTCATAGTGCCCTTTACACAGCTTGTAACCTTCTAGAGCAGTGGTTCCCAAACTTGTTCCGCCACTTGTGCAGGGAAAGCCCCTGGCGGGCCAGGACGGTTTGTTTACCTGCCGCGTCAGCAGGTTTGGCCGATCGCAGCTCCCAGTGGCCGCAGTTTGCTGCTCCAGGCCAGTGCGGGCTGCTGGAAGCGGTGCGGGCCGAGGGACGTACTGGCCGCCGCTTCCAGCAGCTCCCATTGGCCTGGAACAGCGAGCCGCAGCCACTGGGAGCCGCGATTGGCCGAACCTGCGGACGCGGCAGGTAAACAAACCGGCCTGGCCCGCCAGGGGCTTTCCCTGCACAAGCGGCGGAACAAGTTTGGGAACCACTGTTCTAAAATGTGAGGGGACAATTTCAAAAACTCAGATGTTGGGAAACTAGGAAATGTTGAGTTCTAAGCCCCCTTAAAAGCATCAGTGTACTATTACAAGCAAAACATGAATGTAAGAAAACCAGTCAATACAGTTAAGGTTGTGGTAAGAAAGAAGTGTCAACTTAACTGCCCCTCATGGGGCTGGCAACAGGAAACAGCACAGTAATTTATCCATTTCTGTATATCCATCACAACCCAAAATCATCATTCCTCTCAATGCACTTCAATGAGCCATCACAGTTGTCTATGCTGCACCACTGATCTGGGAAGTAGTTGCAAATGATTGGCAGAGATCACACTACACAAAAAAAACACTTAAGAAGAACTTAGAAAACCAGGCAATGCAGAGTTGGTGCATAGGAACTGTCACTAACTCTGCATTGCCTGGTTTTCTAAGTTGGTGTTTTGTTTTTTTCTTATAACACTAATGATCTTGTAAGTGGAACCTTAATGTTATATTTTCTGGTCACAGAATATCTGAGCTTTTGGAATTGACATATTTCTAGAAGAACACAAGGTGCACAAGGCATTATGGAGTGTCTGGAAAGTTATTCCACATAAAACATGTTTTTGCATGTAACTTCACCATTAGAAAAAGTGAGTGTAGTGAAAGGGGCTTGGTCGAGAAACATCTTTGCGGGGGCCTGGGCTGGCTTTCTTGGAGCTGCTGAGCACCCTGTTCTTGCTGATAGGGGGATATACGAGTTATGAATGGCACAGAAATTAACAGCAGCGATTAGAAGACAAAACTTGAACTCCTGGCCTCTTGGCCCCTAGTCCAGGACAGTTTTCCCTAAGCTACAGAATGTTTGTGGGGAACTCAGTCTCCCTTTCTCACCCACACTAGCTGGAAGCCTGCACACAGTGGTATTGGTCCATGCAGGACTGCAGTGGTCTCACTATTGCTACACTACTCCATGGAACCAGAAATAAAGTCTAACAACTTATTAATTTGACTCAGAGCCTTGTTCTGGTACCGGACACTAGAACTCTGCAGGGATAGTCCAGGTTGCTGAGGAAGTTTCATGTGGTTATTGCCCATAATTTCCCCACACACACATATTTCTGCACAAGAAACCGTTGTAAGAAAATTGAAATATTAGGAGCATACAATATGGGGAAGAGGGCCGTGTCTTTGGGAACTCCTTGACCAAATGACTAAATTTTCACCATAAACTTTACCCTGGGCCCCAAAGTGTCCATCTGGGGTCACTCTGTATGATTATTTTTGAGAGGGTTGAGGATTTAGCTTTAACCAGACATTCTGTTGCAACCTAATCTACTTGTCTCCCCATAATCCATCTTGCTTGTATGTTCTATATTGAGCAGTTCCCTAAGGTTGTATGTGATTTGTTTAGAGACCTCTGCATACATGTTAGCATACATGAAGTAACATTTGTCAGGCAGCAACTGCAAATGAAGCAAAATCTCTTTATTCCTGGCTTTACTCTGCAGGAAACTCCCACTCAAGTTTCCCTAACACGCCATGCAATCTTACTAATTCTTTCATTCCGTTAGTCTCTCAGTGTTGGATGGAAAGGTAATGCAGTCTGTTCCGTATAAAAAGGAATCCTAAATAAATGATAGTGATGTACTTCACAAAAATTTGAATGGCAGACTACAAAAGGGCCAGCAACCTCAAATCATTTTCTGTCCTAAATGACCTATACTGACCTTTGCAGGTTTTTGAAAATGGGTAGTGATAAAGAACATTAATTCAACTATAGCAGATGAATTATAGCATGAGATATATTGGTGTCACTCAAGGTCACTTTTGCCTCTGAGATATCACTACTTTTGGGGGATTGATAGAACAGTAATTATAGAAACGAATGTATAGACTAGTTACAAGGAACAGCTGCTTCTTTTGCACCTGTGTACTTATTAAGCAATTATTCCAAATAAATAAAAGATTATTATGTGCTGAGCCTGTGATCCTAGGTAATACTTACAGCAACTGCCTCCAGGATTTGTTTAACAGCATCGGCAGCATCTCGCTCACTGTAATATCCTTTTTCCACAATCCTAGAAAGAAGCAGGAGATACTGCTCAGACTCAGATATAGATAAGCATGCAATGTAGGTAAATGCTTCATAAAAAAATTAATCAGAAATAATCAAATTCGGACATGTCAGGTAGGCTGCAATGCTCTCTGTAGAATCAAAATTGTAGATTTCTGATGGTTAAAGCTAGGTCTATACATCTGTACTTTACCTGCGGTTCCTAGTTAACATAAAAAAAGAGGATTTTTAAATACCAGTTTATTGTTGTAGAAGTAAAATCATAACTACTAATAAAGTCTGCAAAAGAAAGGTATTAGAACTCTATAGGATGATGAATTTTAGAAAATCCCAGCTAGCCAAATCATCTATAACATCTTTTGGGGATGCTTTCCTACATTTATATTTAGTTTAAGCCATTCTTCTAAAAATGATGTGCCATCCATTTGCAATGTCCCACTAAGATCTGTTCTTCACAGTCAAGCTAGGGTGTTTGGTGTTAGAACCTGCCGGCTGCAAATTATCCATGTAGCAATCTGCTGATTTGTCCTCTACAATGCAAGACTTTATTGTTCTTTAATTCATAAAGCCCAGTACAGTATGTGCATATTGCTCATGACAATTAATAGCCTGATTTTTCAAAAATGCTGAGCACCTGCAGCTCATAGTGAATTCAACGGGCTTTGTTGGTACCAGGAACCTCTGAAAAATCTGGTGACTAAATCTTCTTTTCTAACATTGATTCAACTCTTTATCAGAGAAAAATATATGTGTTTAAAGAGTGTTCTCTTTGGAAGTGTTCTCTTTTAAACAATGGTACATTAATATATAAATGCCTTTTTTTAAAAAAATGGGTAGCAGCAATGACAGAATTTCTGGTGCCTGATTCAGGGCTTCATGTTCTGGGACATTCTGGAAGACCATAAACTAATATTACTGAATGAAACGCAATATGAAAACACAGTTAAATAAGAAAATTTTAAAAAAATAAATAATTATAATCATTTAGCATTTTGGGGGTTTAAAAACTGAATTAATTTTCAAAGCCCAGCACAACAAATACGTTGCACTCAGGTCATATATTGTTACTTGAATATAAACTAGTAAACTATGTACTAAAAATTTAGAAGATTTATATCACTGAACACTTAGAAAAATTCTTCATTTAAGAACTCCCCCAGTAGTACTCTTGTCAGTATTTTCTAACAGCATTCATGACCAACAACATTTCTCTCTAACAGAGTTACACCAAAGACACATTTGACTGATAGGTTTGATTATTTTATTGATTTTTAAAAGCTCAACCTGACATATACCGATTTTTTTGTCTTAGATACAGTACATAGAGGTGCATGGCTGTGTACTTTCAGTAAGATCAATGACTGCAAGCTGTGTGACTGATTTTAGTGATAAGGCAGAACAAGCTTCCACATACCTGGAGCAAGGTTGAGAATCTGATTTATTGAGGAGGGGAACACTTGGCATATGTCTTCTGCAGTACTTATTTCAGCAGTGCCGTTGTGATGAGTGTGGCAATCAGAATGAGAGCCCCTATGATGGGGCGCCTGCCCCGCACTGGGCTCTAAGAGGTTAATAGAACCCCAGGAAGGCTGCACAGGAGACAGCCAATCAGAGAAGGGCTGCAAGGACTAGCCAAGCAGGGCCAAGCAGGCCCATATAAAAAGGGAGCTGCAGGGCAGAGGAGGGCAATTCTCCGCTGGGAACCCTGGGAGAAAGGACTGTGTCTCTGGAGGGCTGAGAGAAGAGGTTTGAACATTGGCCTGCTAAACCCAGGGTTGTGAGTTCAATCCTTGAGGGGGCCATTGAGGGATCTGGGGCAAAAATTGGGGATTGGTCCTGCTTTGAGCAGGGGGTTGGACTAGATGACCTCCTGAGGTCCCTTCCAACCCTGATATTCTATGATTCTATGAACTGCCAGCACCCTGGACAGAGCAGTGCTGCTAGCAGGGACCAGCAGAGTGAGAAACAGCTCCTGGCTGGCTGCTGAGATTTGTAGGCTGAGGCCCTGAGTGAAGGGCAAAGAGAATGCTGTGGCCATGAAGAAGTGGCCAGACAATTTGCTGTAGTAGCCACTAAGTGAAGTGGCCGAACAGCAGAATGCAGGTCCCCTCGAAGGGGGGAGCACAGTGTGTGGCACGGCTGAAGGGCTGTGTCGTTGAAGAGGATGTCGAGGTCCTTGGGGAAACGTAGGTCCTAGAGCACGAGCGATGGTGGCGAGGCACCACCTGTAGCGGGCACACTAACATGCAGAGATAATCCTCAAGACAGCCAGCAGAAGGCGCCAGAGTGGTGAGTGAATCCTGTTACAGCCACCCTCTGATGTGTTTCATTATGACAGCACAAGGGCTGATGAAAAAGGTGCTTTGTGACAAAAATTATTATGTAGTCACTGGTACTTTCAGTATAATATATATGACTATAAAAAGGTAATAACCCACCAATCAGGGTAGATCTAACAAATATGGTAGCCCCTTATTGTACCTATATAGAGTGAAAGATGGGTTTGTTTTGAGTAATGCCATTTACAGTTTTATCATATAACTGACAAGCAGTAGAGAAATATATAGTAAAATGATGATTCAGTTTGACTGGAGGGAAAAATCCAATGAGGCAGGGATATTTTTCAATGTATTGCTTCATAGTCTGCCTAATAATCAACACTCATTCTATTCATCGTTCTTCAAAGGGAGACACAATATAGTCTAAAGTGACACCCATTCATCAATGCAACAGTAAAAACAGCAACTTATGGTACTTGCTGTTTCACTAGAGAATCAGAGAAAGAGACTCAGTTGTTACTCTCGGGAATTTCTGCAAAAAATTCAACATAAGAGGAGTTTTCTTGTGGTTTAATATAACATAGCACTGAATTATTTTTAGGTGCAGATTTTAGAACAATTTTTAAGAGCTGTAATCTTAAACATAATTTACTTTCTATGCTATTGCTTTGACTGTCTGGATACATGAGGGCCAATATTCTCTGTGTTGCCATTTTCATGCACTTGTCTTCAATAGACCACACTGTTCTAGTCCGAAAACACATCCCACAGCAGTTCACTTCTTAAGACCTGTTCTGTATCACCAGTAAAATATATTATTTATGGGACAGCTCCTGCTGACTCCCTGGTACTTTTAAATCAATATTAACACTAGTTCACACATATATTAATAACCACTTTACACCAACAGAACACAGCATAGTTTTATATAAAATTACATCTTTCATACCAAAATTATCCCAAAGCGCTGCAAAACATTGAGTTAGAAAACTGGGAGAGTATTCACCAATGTGACTGACATTATGCACTCAGGAATAAATTTATCTGAGGAATTGAATAGTAGGAATGTTTAAAGGACAGACAGCACATGTTGAAGAAATAAGAGACATTGCCTACACTTTTCAAGAACTGACAGAATGTTGAGCTTTCATCAGTAGTGCCATGAGAAATGGGCAGAAGAGACCTGCCTCATGCAAAGGATACAATCTCTGTCAGTGTAACCCCTTCGACCTCTAGTCATTTACAGTATTTTTTAGTGTCAGCATTGAGAAAGTCCTGGTAAACATAAGAACAGACATACTGGGTCATACCAAAAGCCCATCTAGCCCCGTACCCTGTCTTCCGACAGTGGCCATGCCAGATACTTCAGAGAGAATGAACAGAATAGGCAATCATTGAGTGATCCATCCCTGTTGTCCTTTCCCAGCTTCTGGCACTCAGAGGCTAGGGACACCCGGAGCATGGCATTGTGTCTCTGACCATCTTGGCTAATAGCCATTGATGGACCTATCCTCCACAAACTTATCTAGTTCTTTTTTGAACCCTACTATAGTTTTGGCCTTCACAACAGCCCCTGGCAATGAATTCCACAGGCTGACTATGTGTTGTGCGAATACTTCCTTTTTGTTTGTTTTAAACCTGCTGCTTATTAATTTTATTGGGTGACCCTTCCTTCTTGTGTTATGTGAAGGAATAAATAACATTTCCTTATTCACTGTCTTCACACCAGTCAAGATTTTATAGATCTCTATTATATTTCCTTTGTGCCCTGGTCTACACTGGGGCAGGGGATCTATCTAACTTACACAACTTCAGTTACGTGAATAACGTAGCTGAAGTCGAAGTACTTAGATCGACTTACCGGGATGCCTTCACCGCGAGGAGTCGACTGCTGCAGCTCCCCCATCGACTCTGCCTGTGCCTCTCGTGGCGCTGGAGTACAGGAGTCCACAGGAGAGTGCTCGGGGGTCAATTTATCATATCTAGACTAGACACGATAAATCGATTCCCGCTGGATCGATTGCTGCCCGCTGATCCGGCGGGTAGTGAAGACATACCCTAAGTCATCTCTCTTCCAGGCTGAAAAGTCCCGGTCTTTTTAATCTCTCCTCATATTGAAGCTGTTCCATCTCCGTAATAGTTTTTGTTGCCCTTCTCTATACATATTCCAATTCCAAAATACCTTTTTTGAGATGCGGTGACCAGAACGGCATACAGTATTCAAGGTGTGGGCATACCATGAATTTATATGGAGGCAATAGGATATTTTCTTACTATCTATTCCTTTCCTAACGGTTCCTAACATTCTGTTAGCTTTGTTGACTACCACTGTACATAAGCAGATGTTTTCAGAGAACTATCCACAATGATTCCAAGATCTTTCCTGAGTGGTAACAGCTAATTTAGATCCATCATTTTGTATGTACAGTTGGGATTATGTTTTCCAATGAGTATTACTTTGCATTTATCAACACTAAATTTCATCCACCATTTTGTTGCCCAGTCACCCAGTTTTGTGAGATCCCTTTGTAACTCTTTGCAGTCTGCTTTGGACTTAACTACCTTGAGTAATTCTGTACTATCTGCAAATGTTGCCACCTCATTGAGCAGGGGGGAGTGGAGCTGTGGCTGGGGCCAGAGCTGAGCTGGGGGCGGAGTTGAGATGGGGCTGAGGCCGGGGCCAGAGCTGGGCATGGAGCGGGGCTGGGAGGCGCTCCCACCCTAC